TGTTTGAATAAATCCATCAAGTTTTTATGACAGCCACCATTATGTTTATATTTAAAAAAAAAAAAAAAATTGAAGTAGAAATATTATTATGTAATTGTAACTTTATTATTTTAAAAACTTCATTAAGTGTAATTTTAACAAATCAGTCCATTTTAACCTTCAGTATTATAATAATGTAGTACCAACTGACTCTCGTGTATATTTTACAGCATTAGTTGAGAGATTTTTGCTTCCTTGAGGAAATGTGGCATGTAGCCTACTGTACCTGTTATATATCCCAAATAATCGATATTGAATCGAATCGGTAATCGAATCGAATCGAGTCGCAAGCTTGTGAATGAGAATCGAATCGAATCGTGACATTTGTATCAAAACCCAGCCCTAGTCATGAAACTGTGTAACTGCATCTGGTTGTTGAAACCACATATGTAAAATGTTAAATGTTAAAATAATAGTGTGAGAGGGTGTTATGACATGACAGTTGTTTAATGACAGCACTAATGCAACAGAGTAGCTATCTCTTCAGTAAGCTGCCGCAAATGAAACTGAAAGTAAGTCGCAGACGCTCAACACACAAGCATCCTCATTAAAGTAGTAAGACTAACTTATCTTTCAAGTGCTGATGCTGCTCTCTCTCCTGTAGCGGTCTTTGATCTTGAAATTAGCTTATGATGAATCAAATGCAGCGCAAATCTGCTTTCGTTGACGTGAACTCCGTTAGATTTGCATATAGCGCGGGAATTGAAGATCGGATCCGTTTTGCAGAGACACATTTATGTGGCCAGGTGTAAATGTAACAGTCTTAATTGTGTGTTGCTCTGAGACGCGAATCTGTTCTGTTGTGGATGTTGTTGGAGCAAAAACATGTCTAAAATGTAAGTCACTTAGATAACTTTATTGAACTTTATTTTTATTGAACTGCATAGGCTGCCAGTGTCAGTAGTGTTGAACAACATATCACAATCGTGCCAATATTCGAGAAAAAAAAAACTTCTCACTATTTCAAAAGAGGGTGGCCGCAAAATGAGCATGATGAGAGAGAAAAAAACCATTGTAGAATCTATGGTACACTATTAAGAAGCGCTAACCTGCAAATGTTACCTTAGGGAGCTATTTCTACCTCATCTAACCCTTAAATTTCATTTTATCACTAACCTAATGTATAGGTTATAATTAGGCTAATATTTTTGGGTTGAATCAAATCAAATAAATTAGATTTATCTGTAATTTTAAACTTGATGTCCATGATCTATAAATTAATGTTTTAAGGCAAGGTCACTCTATAAAAAATAATGTTTTACACAGTTTGATCTCATACTTTGTACTTGTTGTTTTACTTTCTCTTTCGATTTTTTTGAGGATTCCTCCCTTTTCTAGTCAGAGAAAACGCCCCTGCTTGGACATCTTTTATTACCAGTGCTGAGGCGCAGCCCTGTCACAACGCGGACCTGCTGCTGCTTGAGCTAATTAGGCTGCACATTTGCGCATGCACCGATTTCGGTATGAAATGGGCGTAAAGCATAATTTTTATAAAGTTCTAGGCGTGCTGAGGTTAAATTAGTTTTAAGCAGTAATGAGTAGTTTCAAAGTACGCGAACAGTAGCATATGAAATGATGTCCTCATATAGACTGAATACAGGCTGTGTGTGTATATGGAGCATTAGTTGTATAAATGCCTCATCCATTAGACACAGTCGAACCGCATTAGAGATGATGATGATGATGATGGGAGGGTCCCTGCTGCAGTTTCTTTGTCTCTGTTACTTTAATTAGCTGCCACGCCCATATAACATGAACATCATGTAGACATGCTGTTATTTTTAAAGATATAATCTTAATTTATTCAACCATAATTGCATCTGAAGTGATATCTGCAAATTTTCCCCACTAAATCAATCTTTTCTTTTGTCCTCTGTATCAAAATAAACATATTTTCTATAAACATAGGATTCCATCCTGAACATATTTAAAATTTCAGTTCAGTATCCCAGTGTAAACAAATGAATTTAAAAAAAATTATTATTAAAATGATGACAAATAAACAAAAGCTTAATCTTTCAGAATATAATAGGTATTGTTATAACATCATTATAACTGGAGCCCACAGACATTATAAATGTCTAACTTTGGCACATTTAACTTTGAACTCTTACCAGTGTTAACTTTTGTCTTAAAACCCATTTTAATTTTTATACTCAACAGTAAAAAAAGTGAACAGTAAAAAAAGTAAAATTTCCAAAAAATGAAAATGTTCATTATTTACTCACCCTTGTGTTACTCCAAACCTGTATTACCGTCTTTCCTCAGCCGAACACGAAAGAAGATGTTTTGAAGAATGTTTCAAATGTTTTTGTCAATGCAATGGAAGTCAGTGTCCATGCATAGACACATTTTTCACAGTATCTTCTTTTATAATTCCAAAGAACAAAGGTTTGCAATGACATGAAGATAAGTATGTAGTTATTTTGGTTGAACAATCCACTAATACACTGGCCTGTGTCAAACATTTTAAAGGTCAGAAATTTTCTAAAAAATATAAACAATGCATATAATATAAAATTGAACAATGTAATATAAAAATGACAAATTAACGACTGTTTTCTGTATTTTCTTAAAGGACTTGTTATTTGTAATCTATCCCATACAAGCATACACCAGCACACGCACCTTTGCTTGAGCAGAGCCACATCTTCGGCCAGGTTATCTCTCTCCACCTGCATCTGGTCTCGATCTTTGCCCATCAGTTCCAGCTGTCTGCGCATCTCTCTCATCTCCTGCTGGCACAGCTCATTGACGCGGCCTGATGGCCCTTGCTGCTGGTCCTTGTACTGACCCAGCTCCAGAATCAGCTTTGAGTTCTGCTGCTCTAAATACCGGACCTTCTCTATGAAGCTGGCAAAGCGGTCATTGAGTTCCTGTAGTTCTCTTTTCTCATTGCTGCGTGTGGCAAGGAACTCTTGGTTGATGGCTCCTGCTAGTGAGAAGTCCAATTTATCATAAGAGAGACGGGGGGCCGGAGCACTGGAGCGGCTCCTGAAGTCCACAGAGCGGGTGGGAATAGAGGAGGAGATGTAGCGGCCCCCTATGTGACTGGACACAGGGCTATAGACAGGCGTCCCGAAAGTGCGGTGATAAGAGGTGCGAAATGTAGAGTGACTCATGGTTTTGCCTCTAATCGTTGTTTAAACCTTTTATTTAATGATTTACCTAGTGTATCTTCCTCTTCGTCTGGTCTTTTTGTCTCTAGCAGTTTTGATCAAAGCTGAGTCACAACAGGATGTGAGACTGCGGCTTTTATAGATGAAGCTGGTCAGTTGATCTGAGCTCCACCCAGCCCAGCCCAGCACATTCCCAGTCTCCAAAGCCCCAGATCTCATCATCTTTCATGTATTTATCATTCATCCTTACAGTCACTCCCACCCAAGCCCAACCCGGGCACGTCTCTGACACTTTCCACTTGATATGTGAATTCTTGCTACAAAACACTGACAATCAACAGCTTTGTGTGCAATTATTTAATTTATAATGTTAACGGGACTGAAAGAAGCATTTTAATCTTTAAACAATGGAAGTTAATTGAAATGCAAATGAGCCAAAATGAATCTCCTAAACATCCAATGATCCCAGGACTTGCCATAACATCTACGGCCAGACTTACCATTGGGCTAGACTGGGCCCATATTGGGCTTAAATACAGGACAGAAACAATAAAGATAGATGAAGACCTAACTGGTCAAAATATCTAAGAACGAAAGACCTTACTGGTTGAAATGTTGCTCTTTGTTGTGATAAAAAGTTTCTGGTGCTTTAATTTCAGTTTATAAAACGTCTATCTTTGTGGATAACTCAGCCATTATATATATATATATATAGCATTAGCATAGCATTACCACTAAATGCCATTTCAGATGCAGCTTCATGATGCAAAGATGACCTTTGTTGATACTGAATTCATTTGACTGGTAACAACCTATAGTGTCTTATACTGTCACAAAAAAATTGTACCTTTAGGGTTACAACAGCTTGTCACTGAGACAGTACCCTTAATGATTAGTAATCTGTACCCTTGAGGTGATCAATTTTAGGGGTAAATAAGGTACAGAGATGTCCCTTTGAGGGTAGAGCCCTAGTGACAAACTGTTGTACCCCTAAATATACAATTTTACCTTTTGAAAAGGTACCGCCCCAGTGACAGCTTTTGTACCTTTTTTTTTTCTGAGAGTGTATGCTCACTGCTAAGAGTACACCTATATTAATAATTCATACATAGCTTCCATTTTTTTCCCCCTTTGCAAGTCATCATCACTGAAATATACAGTAGACTAGTCAAGCACATTTTCTAAGGAAACACTTGGTATCCATAAAATAAGCATTTGTGTGTGTGTGTGTGTGTGTGTGTATAATTAGCATTACTGATGCTGAGACGATTAGTGTGTCATCTTGCCAAAAATACAGGAATTTTTAAATATCTATCTTTCATTGTCTTTACAAAGTTTTAATTGTTACCACCTAACACATTTAATTGGAGTTTCTCAGTAAAATCTGTGAGAAACTTAAAGTTATTTAAGTCAGCATCAAAAAACATTATATATATATATATGCATGTATGTGTGTGTGTGGATAATGGGAATGTTTATAATATTCTAATATTATTCTAAATTTCAAATGTAACAATGTCAAATTTGTCTGTGATGTGCTTTTACAACAATACCACATAAATAAATAAATACCTGTGCATTTTGATTTGGAAACAGAAATATTTGTGATTCACAAAAGCTTGACATGCAGACTTTTTTGCTCTTATCGTTAGTTAAAAACAACGGGAAAATATAAGGACGTTTTGAAAGTTTTTCTGCATAGTCCAACAAACTCTTATTTCCAAAGATAAAGGAAAAACTGATTTCTCATAATGCCTTAAAACTGCAAAACTAAAGGTCAATTTATTGTTGATGTTGCCTGTATTTAATTTTGTTTAAAAAGTGATCAAGAGCATATGAATGTTTATTTTAAGCTTTTTATTGAGACACAGAATATCCACAATAAGCTTTCATTACAATATTTGTCAGCAAATTAAACTAACATTCAAACTAACACCAAGTAGGTAGACTGTTATGTCAGTTGCCATTTTTTAAGCTTGTGAAATTTTCAGTCTAGAGGCTACCTGCTATTCATTTTCATTCTGGACAATGCATGAAAATGAAGGAAATCTAATACTCCTCACCCTCCTCTTCTCCTTCTCCCTCGACTGAATCTACACCCACCTCCTCATAATCTTTCTCCAGGGCTGCCATGTCTTCTCTAGCCTCAGAGAACTCGCCCTCCTCCATACCTTCACCTACGTACCAGTGCACAAAGGCACGCTTAGCGTACATCAGATCGAACTTATGATCAAGTCTGGCCCAAGCCTCCGCGATAGCAGTGGTGTTGCTTAGCATGCACACCGCTCGCTGCACCTTGGCCAAATCACCACCAGGTACAACGGTAGGGGGCTGGTAGTTGATACCAACCTTGAAACCAGTTGGACACCAGTCCACAAACTGAATGCTGCGCTTGGTCTTTATGGTGGCAATAGCAGCATTTACATCTTTAGGTACAACATCACCACGGTACAACAGGCAGCAAGCCATGTACTTGCCGTGACGTGGGTCACATTTGACCATCTGATTAGACGGCTCAAAGCAAGCATTAGTGATCTCAGACACTGAGAGCTGCTCATGGTAAGCTTTCTCAGCAGAGATCACAGGAGCGTAAGTTGCTAAAGGAAAATGGATACGTGGATACGGCACCAAGTTGGTCTGAAACTCAGTTAAGTCAACATTCAGGGCACCGTCAAATCTCAGGGAGGCGGTAATGGAGGACACAATCTGACCTATCAGCCTATTAAGGTTGGTGTAGCTGGGACGCTCGATATCAAGGTTTCTACGGCAGATGTCATAGATGGCCTCATTGTCGACCATGAAAGCGCAGTCTGAGTGCTCGAGGGTGGTGTGGGTGGTAAGAATGGAGTTGTAGGGCTCCACCACAGCAGTAGACACCTGTGGAGCTGGGTAGATGGACTACTCAAGCTTAGATTTCTTTCCATAATCAACAGAAAGGCGCTCCATCAGTAACGAGGTGAAGCCAGAACCAGTTCCTCCTCCAAAGCTGTGGAACACCAAGAAGCCCTGAAGTCCAGTGCACTGGTCAGCCTATGAAGAGGGGGAATGGAAAGAAACAGTAATTCAATTGTATTTAAGTTAAAACATAAATTGCTGAATGAAAACAGGCTGACTGTGATTACAAGGATGTCTTACCAGTTTGCGAATCCTGTCAAGAACCAGATCAATGATCTCTTTGCCAATAGTGTAATGGCCACGAGCGTAGTTGTTAGCTGCATCCTCCTTTCCGGTGATCAGCTGCTCAGGGTGGAAAAGCTGACGGTAAGTTCCAGTGCGAACCTCATCTGAACCGCAAAAAAGAGTGTGGAGAGAATGAAAGCTGTGAAGCTCGTGGACTAACCATAAGAGACTGGTAATCAGGCAATTACTAACCAATCACAGTGGGCTCCAGATCTACAAACACGGCCCTGGGAACATGCTTGCCAGCTCCTGTCTCACTGAAAAAAGTGTTGAAGGAGTCGTCCCCTCCACCAATGGTCTTATCACTGTGCATCTGTCCATCCGGCTGAATCCCATGCTCAAGGCAGTAAAGTTCCCAGCAGGCATTGCCAATCTGGACGCCAGCTTGACCCACATGAATGGAAATACACTCACGCTGTTGTGGAAAAGAAAGATAAATGACTCTATCTTTAACATTTATCCTGAAAATTAGGACAATTCCCAGTACCAAGACATTTAAAAAAAAAAAAGAGAGAGAGAGAGAGAGAGCTTTATAAAATGTAAGTTTTGGATGATATATTTGATTACATACCACACTGGATTTTAATTTATATTTACTTACTGACAAAACATGTTGTTTGCAACACTTTTAAACTGTATTATGAAACCCATAACTGTATAAAAATAAAATATATCAACACCATTTTCAGATAATTATCCAAATAAACTATAGGCAACAATGGCATACAATGAGAAATGTCAGACCGTTATATTCCCAAATTCAGTTTTTGAAAATTATATAACATAGCTATTTAGCTGTATTTTTAGGCTCTCAAATCATAAATGTTCTCATATGAAAAATACAGAGCTCGTCTTTCTTCTCTCCCTTCTAACAATGACGAGCATCAACAGAACTGTGCAAAACCTTCCGATTAAAGCGCAAAACAGCAAAATAAGATGAACATTATAAGGCAGAAGATTAACTAAGAAATAAAGTGTTCACTCACCATTTTGTGGTTTTTCTCAGCTGCTGCAGGCGCTGATATGTGCTGCTGCTCTCATAGCAGAGAAGATGTCGCTATAGAGCAGGCTGCAGGAGGGATGGGCTCAGTTTATGCGCAACCAAATACATCTTATGTATTATTCCAAACAAAATACAGTTTTATTTCACGCCAGTCTTGCTTGCTTACTTACTCTTTGTGGAAAAGGGTTATTCATGGTTGCAATAAATCTCTCAAATGCACATAAACTAACATCTGGATCACAAACACCACACACAGTGGCATTCGTGTAATTTTATTTATCAAACCTGCATCCTACAAATCATTTAAAATGTAATTTGAACATTATGTCATTCGTGGTGTTTTTGACCGTAAATTTCAATTAACCTACTGAACACAGTTCTAATAACACATTCAAAACAGACTGTAGGGAATAATTTAGAGTTTTAGATGCTTTGATGCAGCCGCACCTTATCATTGTGATCCAGAAAACATAATGTGTTTTAAACCCTAATAAGCCGCCTAGACAATATTTCCATATAGGCGCACACAGCTAGTCACGAGCCACCGCCCGTCTGAGATTCTGCTGCAGTACATGACATCATAATGCTGCAGAAAAAACAACAACTGTTCAACAAGCACCATTTACAGATTGTAAAATAAATCTTTATGAGTGTGAAAGAGGGCTTGGACTGACTGACTCAATGACATAGCGGTTTTATTTCGTTTTTAAAGTAAGCTAATGACTATTTCAAATGATCCCCAGAGATTATTCAGAAATCAACGGCATGCAAAAAAACCTGAATGAAACAAGTGTTCTGATGCAATGAAATGAGCAGTCTATATATTCACATACATGAAGTAGGTCACATTTTGACGCTGTCTGTCACTCTATAAAAGCGGTGCCACTCGAGGATTCCGCGCAGTTACTACATCGACTCTTCGCCGTCGACAACAGTAACGCAGTAGAGCTAAATATTGTTTCCAGATCATTCCAAAGTATACGAAAATGGTGAGTAGCTGACTCGTTGTATTATTAGATTTTTAGGCTATACTATGCAAATGAAAGCATACGTGTAATAAAATGATTTAAGCAAGAATTGTGTCATTATGAAGAAATCGTATGCTAAATCTAAGCATATAGGCTACTAAATGTTGTGTACATAATACTTATTAAATAGTAGTCTAGTGGCTATATCTAGAGATGAGGCAGGTTACAGGGTCTGCGGAACACTACACCTGTCATCGTTTTAATAAACGACATCTGCTCGATATATTCCTGCTGAATATTCTGGTGAATATGTTTGACTCTCTGCTATTTTGTATCGGGATGTGTGACCACTTTTCGTCTGTTAGATGCTGATGAACTGTTATCAGGCTATTATTATTATTCAGTACATGCTTTCTCTTTGTGATTTTCAATTTTAAATCTAGGTATTCATTACATTACAAATATTAAGCCTCAGTTATTTAACAGTGCAATGGATTTGAAGGTCATTAAAGGCATAGCAGAGAGTTCACACTACTCTTCAGACAGCCATCATCTGCTCTGACCAGCTAAACTCAGGAAACATATGTTGTAGCCTACTATAAACAGTATTGTAACAGTGTAGCAGTATGAGTGTAACAGTGCTTTAAACAAATTCAGAGTTATTCTCATCAGCAGAGAAAAGATTATTTATAAACCCAGAATGAAAATACAGTTCACTGCCTTTGTATGGACTTAACTTACATTGCATATACAGTGAATAGTGCTGCAATTTGGTAAGATGACTTGTAGTTCTTTAAGTAAACCCATGTTGCTAAGCAAGAAATAAGGGACAGCTAGGTGGAGCTCGAGGTTTTTAAACAGGAGAGGCGGAGGAAGGTGGCATCCATGGTTGCTCACATGATGTCTTGCCTCATTGGCTATATTCAGTTTTATACTTAAAGCATAGAATGGCGTGTTATTGTGTCGAATTTTTTTGCAACACCCAATTCACACTTGCACAGTATGTACATTCGTATCTCATAGTAATGAAGTCAAAATTATATTAGATTTAAAAGTCTGCAACTAACTATTATGTAATAAAACTGTTGCTTTTCTTCTTTGCAACAGCGTGAGTGTATTTCCATTCATGTGGGTCAAGCTGGCGTCCAGATTGGCAATGCCTGCTGGGAACTTTACTGCCTTGAGCATGGGATTCAGCCGGATGGACAGATGCCCAGTGATAAGACCATTGGTGGAGGGGACGACTCCTTCAACACTTTTTTCAGTGAGACAGGAGCTGGCAAGCATGTTCCCAGGGCCGTGTTTGTAGATCTGGAGCCCACTGTGATTGGTTAGTAATTGCCTGATTAGTCGTCTCTTATTGTTAATCCACAAGCTTCACAGCTTTCATTCTCTCCACACTCTTTTTTGCGGTTCAGATGAGGTTCGCACTGGAACTTACCGTCAGCTTTTCCACCCTGAGCAGCTGATCACCGGAAAGGAGGATGCAGCTAACAACTACGCTCGTGGCCATTACACTATTGGCAAAGAGATCATTGATCTGGTTCTTGACAGGATTCGCAAACTGGTAAGACATCCTTGTAATCACAGTCAGCCTGTTTTCATTCAGCAATTTATGTTTTAACTTAAATACAATTGAATTACTGTTTCTTTCCATTCCCCCTCTTCATAGGCTGACCAGTGCACTGGACTTCAGGGCTTCTTGGTGTTCCACAGCTTTGGAGGAGGAACTGGTTCTGGCTTCACCTCGTTACTGATGGAGCGCCTTTCTGTTGATTATGGAAAGAAATCTAAGCTTGAGTTCTCCATCTACCCAGCTCCACAGGTGTCTACTGCTGTGGTGGAGCCCTACAACTCCATTCTTACCACCCACACCACCCTCGAGCACTCAGACTGCGCTTTCATGGTCGACAATGAGGCCATCTATGACATCTGCCGTAGAAACCTTGATATCGAGCGTCCCAGCTACACCAACCTTAATAGGCTGATTAGCCAGATCGTGTCCTCCATTACCGCCTCCCTGAGATTTGACGGTGCCCTGAATGTTGACTTAACTGAGTTTCAGACCAACTTGGTGCCGTATCCACGTATCCATTTTCCTTTAGCAACTTACGCTCCTGTGATCTCTGCTGAGAAAGCTTACCATGAGCAGCTCTCAGTGTCTGAGATCACTAATGCTTGCTTTGAGCCGTCTAATCAGATGGTCAAATGTGACCCACGTCACGGCAAGTACATGGCTTGCTGTCTGTTGTACCGTGGTGATGTTGTACCTAAAGATGTAAATGCTGCTATTGCCACCATAAAGACCAAGCGCAGCATTCAGTTTGTGGACTGGTGTCCAACTGGTTTCAAGGTTGGTATCAACTACCAGCCCCCTACCGTTGTACCTGGAGGTGATTTGGCTAAGGTGCAGCGAGCGGTGTGCATGCTAAGCAACACCACTGCTATCGCGGAGGCTTGGGCCAGACTTGATCATAAGTTCGATCTGATGTACGCTAAGCGTGCCTTTGTGCACTGGTACGTAGGTGAAGGTATGGAGGAGGGCGAGTTCTCTGAGGCTAGAGAAGACATGGCAGCCCTGGAGAAAGATTATGAGGAGGTGGGTGTAGATTCAGTCGAGGGAGAAGGAGAAGAGGAGGGTGAGGAGTATTAAGTTATTTTCTCCTTTCCAGGTCAGTTACTGCTTTGCATCATTAATCAGTTATATTCAGAAATGTAAATGAAATGAGGCTTTAAAGGTGACACATATCAAGCATTCAGTTGTCTATTGCAATGTAAAGAATATGTGCAGTAAACATTTGTTTTTTTCATCATGTCAACCACATATTTGGTGCTGCAGTGAATTGAGATTGAGTCATATTTTCCTGTATTCCTCCAATTACAGTGTGTAGATCAAATAAAATTATTCACTGACCTTACTGATGTCTGCAATGAATGGATCATTAAAAGACATGAGTAACAGATGCTTTTACTCAAACCCCATTAGAAAACATTCACAATTTTTAAATTGAAGTACTCAGATTTTCATTTCATTTTCAAGTATGGTAATATTAATTAAGCTCCTTACAGCAGCAACAGTGTTTTTATCCAGCAGCCTTGTTCACGTTCAATATCAGATCTGCCCACTAGGAAAACTACTTCTACTGCTTCTAATGAGTGTTTATTTTGTCTTTCCTCCCAAATCACATACTACAGTTAAACATTTAACATGAAGTATAGCACATTCTGGAATCTGCTTAAAATCACAAAAGAAGATTAACAAAAATAATTTTCATACCTTAGAGTATTTACTAATAGTAGTTATTCACATAAAATATAAATCAGAGTCACATTACAAATTGCATTAAAAATTGCATAAATACCTATTACTGAATACTAAAATAACAATTAAATGGTTAAATCATTCAAATGTCATTTCACTACACTAAAGTATTAAAAAAAGTGGAACTGTAAAATGTAATATTGATCACATTCAATATGCCACTAAACTGGTACTTCAGAAAAGCTTACATTTGTAAATTGTTATAGTTTCTGGGGATTGAATAATTTTAATTGAAAATGTATATATTAAAAAATAAATATATACTGTATAAAATAAATTAAAGTTCTTAGACCTTATTAGTAGGCAGGTTATGTAACAATCAGTTGGCGTTAGTCAGTGGAAATGCAGGCCTTCATCATGTTGATGTTCAGAATATAATTTTGAACAGTGTAATATGGTATTAAACCAAGTGTTTATAAATGTCTTATGTTTATAAATGTCACTAGACTAAAAATGTCTTATGAGATTTCATGATAGAAATGAATGACAAATGATAACCTTGTTTGTTATAGTCAGTTTTGACCAAGTATTCTGGTGTTGAACACCTGCAAGTATCCATCAAGACATTTATTTTTGCTTGTTAAAATATAATTAACCAGTCTTACATAAAAAATAAAGTCCATTTCAAGCACTTCCAAGAACCCACAAGCTCAAACAGTTGCAAAGCCACAACCCAACCTGCACCCAAGAAAATTCCAACAACTTTGTTAATGTTCACCTTACGTTCACGTATTAAGTTCATTTTTGGTCTTTCGAACCCTCGCTCACTTTTACCTGTACTCGATGCCACGCATTACTAAGGACTCCTCGTAAGTTCCAGATAGGTGCAACAGTGTCTGTCTGCGTGTTGTAACTACTGTCCACTGCTTTGCATATGATCTCCAACTCCTGAGCCCTATGAGGAATTGGGACGTCTATCTCCCATAGCTTCCAAGCCCAGGCTCTTCCAGGTGGAGGAGGCGGGGCAGGGTGCTGTTCTTGATCACTAGTGCGAAGTTTGGCTACATGCCACGTTTTCCCACCATCTATCGAGACGTCCACTCTCACAACCTCTCTTCCTCCCGCCCACTACACGCGTAGCCTTTTGAGTCCTTTGACTTGCTTGACTTTGTTCATCTCAGAACGACGGTTCCCGGTGCACTGAAGCGTTGCTGTAATTGTGTGTTTTGGAAAACGAGACTTTAGCTCACTTAGACTAAGTGATACTACTCCACCAGGGATACCCTCGATCTCCAACCTGTAAGTTTCAGGATCCACTCTGGGCACTGGAAGATGATTACGCTTAAAAAAATATGACTGAGGGGGTGATATAATTATCAGAAATTATAGATGCAGGTGGTTCAGCATTGAAAGGTTTGAGACTGTTGATCTGAAGAGCAGCGTGACGTGTTGGCTCCGCAGAGTAAGGGTCTAAAGGGATGGTACTCTCTTGCTTCTGGCAACTCTCTGTATCAAGAACACCAATTTTATACTCTGAGAGGATTTCTAGAACATGGTCTTGTTGATGAACAGCATATAACGCCCAGTAAGGTTCCAGAGCTCCACCAGCAGCCAGAAGTATTTTGTCGCCACCAGGGTGCATGGCCACAAATTCAGTGATATCATAGACTCCTCCTTTATAGGTGACCCACACACCACTCTCAAGGGAACAATGCTTTGTGACTTCTTCTAGGGTGTAAACGGGAAGATTCGAAGTCTGCGTTACCCGTAACTCTGCTGAGGTAGCAGCCCAGTGAACCTGAACAAAAACAGACATAAAAAAGATTACTCAGTTACAACTAAAGCATAGGGCACATTGCAATTTTTATGTCCTTTACAATTGTTGTTTGTCGGCAGTGTTGGGGAAAGTTACTTTTAAAAGTAATGCATTACAATAGGTGGAGGTTGTGTTTGCGGAACGATGTATGTTATAATACATCGTGTATTATAACATACTTGTATTATCAACAAGTGAGAGTGGAGAGATTCGTCCTCACGCGAGCCTATCGCAAGACATCTGGTAGGGGGGGCACCTGCACCAGCCAAATTTCAGGGGGGGCCGGTGCCACCCCTGGCCACCACGTAGACACGCCCCTGGGCCCAAGGCCCAATGCCCAGTCTTGCGTCTGAACTATGACGTGAAAATTGGCCCGAAGCCCGGCCCTAGGGGGCGAAAAAAGTCGGGGCCCGGGCTGAAATGCAGGGCTCTACTCCATTCCCCCTATGGGGCCCACTCTCTCGATACACTGGTTATGCTTTTGCCTCCTCGGCCGCCTTTTTCAAACAGGTGCAGCGCGTCCTCGTGGTGCTGTAGATTAGAAAATGCATGACCTGCGAGCGGAGCAGAACGCGGGACCCGAGCGTTTTTAATCCATTCCTATGGAAGTTGAGCTTGCGCAATTTAGGAACGAACTGAAAAAAGTTCGTGCACACACACATAAACACGCACGTTAAGCATAAATTCACGAGTTCACACTTACATATAATTAAATAAAGGTTATGCGTATTTGGCGTGCTGTCCGGGGAGAGGGGTCCGAGCTCGGTGTCCAGCCCGGCCCAAAAGCGCCCCGAAATTTCTTTATAAAACATCACGAAGAGGACAAATCTAGCAGGCAGCCTGAAGCGAAAAAAAAGAGGAGGAAAAGAGGAAACAGGACAACGGTATGCATAGGCACCAATTTATGTTTCTGCCCACACTCTATTCCACTCCAAACCAAGTATAAAACATTTTATTCATCATTGTTTCCATGAGCAAATGATAACGGGCTAGGTTGTCACGCAACAACTGTGCCTTAAATATTTTAACATTCCCATTTTTTACAGCCTAATTAAT